AGAGAGAGAGAGAGAGAGAGAGAGAGAGAGAGAGAGAGAGAGAAACGAGGTAGAAAGAAAATAACCTTTGCATAAAAATGTCTTTATTGACCTCCCATACGTCCTTAAAAGGTTCCCACGTTTTAAGATACACTTGTACTTGGGACAAGCAATGATTCATCTCTGTTAATTAATTCATAATTTATATTTTTTTAAACATATATATATACTAGGGGTGCCCCACCACGCGTTGCTGCGGCTCACAATCAGTCCGATACACACGTCTTTAATTCAAAAATTTTAAACTTTTTGGAATAAGCTGTAACAATCTGGACCGTTTTTGTGAAAATTTTTATTAAAAAGTTATTACAATATCTAAAGTCATCTCGAATATCGACTAACTTCAATCTATAAACTTTTCGCATAACAACTTAAAAATAAAAAATTAATTAAATATATAATTTAAAATGGACCAAATTGTAACGACAGACCATTATCGAATCCACTTTAAGACACACAAAAAATTTCATTAAAATCGGTCCAGCCGTTTAGGAGGAGTTCAATTACAGAAACGTGCACAGAAGAAATATATATATATATATATATATATCTTCTTAATATAAATTATGTGTTACGTTGTTTGCCTGCAATGGACTCTTAAACTACTGAACCGATTTTAATAAAATTTTGCACACTGTGTGCAGTTTCATCCAACTTGAAAGATAGGATAGCTTATATCTCAATTTATAATTGCAATATTATTTTATTGCGAATTATTTGTTTATTAACGAAGAATCATGATTATCTCTGTTAGTTCGATAAGGTTCTAACAGATGGCGGTATAAAGTAATTCGTTGACTGGATTGAGTAACTATTAAATAGATGGCACCATGTTAAAAGTACAAACGTTTTATGTAACCTACTATTTATTAGTATAACCACGTGTATTAAAAAGTTTGAAATTTTCGAATTAAAGACGTGTGTATCGGACTGATTGTGAGCCACAGCAACGCGTGGCGGGGCATATAGATGTATATCTAGTGTATATATATATTTAATAATTAATAATTTCTTATATATACATATATATACAAAATATTCCAAGAAATGAGGACGATACTTATATTACGTATTAATAAAATCAATTAGATCTAGAAATTTTATATAAACTTATGCACGAAAATATATGTTTTAATTTTATTTAATTTTTTTTTTTCTAATAAACTCTTATAACTCTTCAGTAAATCATTATAGTGAGTATAAGTTTCTAAAAACTTGTTTGCTCTATTTGAATCCATTAATATGTTATATAAGTTTGGTCTTAAATTTTTTGGGGACATTTTGTATAAAAAAAAAACACAATAAAGAAAAGACGATTTGAATACCATTGTTAAGCAATTTTTGATAACGAATAAGATCTTCGTCTTTTTCGTAGACCTTCCAAAGAGGTTCTATTTCTTTAGAGGAGGAGACTTTGAACCTTTCAGTTAATCGATGAAAATTCTTAATAGGTGTAAATAGGTGGTTGAGAACGTTGGATAGGGTTGTGGCAATATCCGACAGGTTTGGTGAGAAGTTTATCTGAACACGAGGACACACGAACGTGTTAGCTTTCAAACGTTCTTGGTCGAAGGTCGCTTCCCTTCCCAACCGATATCGTGATTCGCTTGAATCTCCGAGATGGTAAGCCGAAGGGTTAGCAACGTTGGACGTTCGAACAATGTCTGCGAAGGGACACAATTATGGCTCTCTCTGTTGCTACCTTATTGTTGAGCAAGTCCACTTGCACCAGTAGAAGAGGAGGTGGACCTGTCGTCCCGTCTCCGTGAAGGGCTTCATACATAACATCCATGGAACCCTTAAGGCAGAATCTCAGTGCTTCCTGAATCAGTATATCTAGATTATCCAAATATTGTTGCCACTGCTTTAAAGTCTAAAATGGAGAAAAACATTTTTTAAATTAACGAATCATATACGAAGTTATAATATCACTTATATTAGTGTTTCTTAAATCAGTATATCGAAATTGCTCAAATATTATTAGCACTGCTTTTAAGTTTACATTAAAAGATATTTTATGTCAATTAATCAATGCGAATATATATATATATATATGTTGCCTTAGAATAGTACTTAAAAATTCTCAAGAACTACACCGGATAGTTCAATATTTTTAAATATGCATAAAAATATGTAAGCATTACGTATTCATTTTTTTCAACAATGCAATACTTATACGAACTCGCATTCCATAGAATCTATGTAATATCGTGAGCTTAACTTGAATAGTTTATATTTAAAAAAGAAAGTACAAAATTGATGAATGCGGTAGGATGGGAGACTCTTTATATGTATATGTATATACATATAAAAATGAAATCTATGGCTTGGATTCGAGTTATATGAAAGAGGATAATTCATTTTAGTCGTTGTAGTCTGAAAAACGGATTTATTCGATGGATTCGGTTGGAGAACTGAGGGAGAAAAAAATTAATACGCTTTTTGGTTTGCATTAAAGAGGAACTTTAAAGGTTTGATTTTAAAACAATTATCCTTTTTCTTTCTAGCAATGAAATATCAAAAAATTTTAAGAACATAGATGCGTTTTTTTGTTTGTTCTCCAAATAACATAGAAAAATGATAACTAAACTAAAAATTAACTTAAAATGTGCATGCAAGCACGGAGACATTTACGTTGTTGTAAGGGATAAATTCTAACAGCATTTGTGACATTAATGTAATGTCTTACGTTTTTCTCAATTTTAGTTACACAAAAAAATGATCAAGATAGTAACAAAATTATATTTTCTTCAAGTAAAGAAATATTTTAAATTGGTCATTCTGTTCACAAATTTTAGAAATATCGATTGTATATATTTTGAAGAATATAATACAAAAATTGTGAAAAAGTAAATTTCAATTGTTTTAACTTTTATAAAACTTTCTTAACTTTTCAATAGCAATTCATTAGCTATTATTTGACAGTTTGTTATACTATAGAGTTGAATATAGTATAAACATAATGTAATATATATATATACGTGTACGATTATGGTGCGGAACATAAAAATAACTTGAAAGTTTAATCTCCGGAGTAAACGCATCAAGCGTCTATGCGAGAGGATCGTATTACGACTGCCTCGTCGATTTCAACGTTTCTCTTTACGGATCTCTTATGCTCCTCGTCTCTCCTTTCGTCGAGACGACAATAAAAGTCTCCGTAAGTAGTCGAGAGGTAATCCTAGGAAAGTCCCGCGAGTGCATAAAATCATAAGAAGCGAATTTCAGATCTTTAAGCACTATTACGGTGTCTTAGCGAGCTTTACGAGCGCATAAATTTATAAAGTATCTTCTCGAAATTCTTCAAGGATATGTATATATATATATATATTATTTCGCTTTCTTGATATTTAAAGTCTTTTTAAACGAGAGACGATTTTATCGATTTTCCTTTTTTTATCCTACGTGATATTTCTAATTTAACATATTATAGACACATAATGTTGCTTTTACTGTTAAAGTATATGTGCTACCATACTTAAGCAGTTATAATTTTGTATAACTTTGAAGTTATTATACATTGACATGTATTGATATTTGTTTTTGTTTAATGCGTTGATATTTCTTATATTATATTAAGGTCAATTAAAAGTTCGTGAGTTTATTGTTTTGTTTCAGATAGTGCAATTTTTTGAAGTCAATAAAATTACTTTATATATATGAACTTTTGCTTTACCCTAATATTAAAACACTTAGACATTTATTGCGGATGGTTTCTTTCAATAACAAAAATAATGAATAAATAAAAATAAATGAATGTGTAAAATTATACATTAACTTAAACAGATTGGGATTTAATTATATTGTATTATTTTGAGAATATGTTAAAGTAATCGTAAATATAAAAAAAGTATCGATTATAAAAAAACTTAACTCTCGGATTACTCCTTTGAATCCCTCGAAGACTACCATGACATATTGAACTATCGTGTTGTACTTTGTAACCATATCGGCAACAACCGCATCTCTGAAAAGTTAGGGAGAGTTTCAAAGTTCCATAGTTCCATGCTTCAAAATTGTATGGCTCACCTCACGCTTGTTAGTTCCTCCTGCAATTCTGACAAGGTGTACGCATAATTTGGTTTTAACTTGATCATAGGCGAATCGCAAATATTCTCACATATTTTAAGGATCTCAAAATTAGATTTCTTATAGATATCGACGAATCGTTTAAGCTGAAAATAATTCTTTCTTCCATATATAGGTTTGTATTTTTTTCAAGTGTTCTTAACTTTCGTGATTTAGATACATATACAAGTTAATTTGCGAATGGACGATAATATAAGTAAAGTTTCTAATAACTTTGAAAATGGTTTGTGTTGTCGGTACGATGGAAAATGAAATTACATCAGGATTGAGAGATGAGTGCTTATAAGCTAGCATTATTGAAATCGTTTAAAATATACTTTAGCGGTTCTATTGTAGCAATCCTCGACAAAGTTTTCAACGTTGTCTGTGTTCCACGTTAGTCTATTTAATCCAGGATTGATCTTTTCGTTGACCCGCAGGATTAATCCTCGAAAGAGTTCACGTTCCATGTCGGACAATGCTAAAAAATAAAAGTTTCGTTTATCATTTCTTACGTGGAAATCGTTTTGAATAAAAAATATTACAAGTAAGCATCTATAGTTTTATCTTCATCCAAACTTTCTTTCTATTCTCAACGATCAATCTTTAATCGATCAAAAAAGATAGTTGTTTACAAGGATAGATACTTTTCTATAGAAGATGAATTCTTTTATAAAAGAAAGAGAGAGAGAGAGAGAGAGATAAATTCGAAATATAATTAATTCATAAATTTGAAACCCATAACTAAAATATTATTTTTCTTTAAATAATTAAACACTCGTTATTCATTTCCATCAAAAAAATATTATAAATATATACCATTCGGCTTTTGTGGTTCATTGATTTATCCGAACTTTCCCATCCTTATTTGTATGAATTTATTTTTAATTTAAATAAATTTAATTTAAGCACACATTAATGTCAATTGTTTGGACACGTTGAATTACTAGTTCACGTCAGATCACTGAAGTCAAGCAACGTGGATATGGTTAGCAAAATGAATGGGTTATTCATTCGGAAAAACAAAAATCGTGTTGACTATACAGATTCTTTGGTAGAATTGAATAAGTGTGATAAGGTATTTGTAGAGAAATTACTTGAACACATAATAGGGAAAGTAAAAAGATACACATAATATGAACATTAATAAATAGAAAATTATCCTGCTTGACGAATTATCGTAATTATAAAATAAAAGAATTATGAAAGATTAACTAGCCTTCGATGATCGTATTGTAAGTGTAGATCAACTCGAGAACACCTTCGTAAACAAAAAAAATGGTATCCTTTTTGACGTATATGACAGTCAGTTGAATTGGTATTTCGAATCGAAGATTATTCCAACTATCGCATTCTCGACAAAGATCTAATATAAAAGGGTCCATATTACATTCCATTAATAAAGGTGATTTTTCCTTTCGTCTTATCAAGGATCGATCCAAATGGGTGCGTGGATTTTCACCAGCTGCTTCGATCCATTCACTATGGAGATTGGCTATAGCATCTTTGATTGATTTTATCACGATTTCATGCTGATGGAAGATCTCGAATTTCATAGCACAGTAGGGCAACCATTCAGCTTCTTCCATCATTTTTTTCGTTGCTTGCAAGCTATTAGCTTTTTGTTCTAGAGCCAATGCTCTTCCGGAATAATATGGCATCATCGATGAGTATTCTTCTTTTTTATCTAAGACATCTTGCTTTGCATTTTGAATATCATCGTCAAACATTTTCCATACCTGAAAAAATTATTAAAATTTTTCTTAAAATTAATCTAAAACATATTGGTTATTTATATAGATGGGTCTTTAATGAAGATAAATATAAAAAGGTTACAATTTAGAGCCTAAAGTTACGTGAAATCCAGAGTAAATTAAGTATATATATTCTAATAATATTTATTTTATGACATATTAAAGAATAAAATAAAAATTTAAATAATGTTTTTTTTTATTAATTATTTCATTATATAATATTTATGAAAATATAAAATGTCATTTATAAGCCAGTAATAAATTATTATTAAATCATTTAGTACCAATTTCAGTGGTTGAACTAATGAATAACAATGAATTTAAACCAATTAATAATAAAGTATAATTGTTAATTCATTTATATACATATGTATGTATATATATTACATTTGTGAGTTGTTTTATAGCTACGTTTATTAGTTTTCGAAATTCCAATTGCAATGTTTAACTTGGAGAATCTTGTTTCGAAGTTCGAGTTCGCTCTAGAAACTCGCTTACCTCCATAGTCTTATTATTGAAGAGCTCCTGTAGTTTCTCTCTGTTCATATAATTGTAAAATCCACGGAGATTCTCGATACCTTCTTGCACGTTGTTCATGATGACGAAGACGGTTGCTACCAAGTTTTCGATTATTATCTCCAATTCTCTGACTTCGCCGCGAAAGATAGACATAATGTTCTTCCAAGCGACGTGCAACACGTCGAATATTTTATGGGAGTTTGCTTCGATTTTCTCAAGACTTTCGAAGAAGAGTCTCTCAATTTTTTGACAGGCTCTACCGTGTTCCTCTCCTTTGGTTCCAGGAAACTTCGGTCTTAGGATGTTCGTTGTTTCGTCCATTCTATAAAATAATCGAAAAATATTCTCTTATGTTTTCTCTTACATTTTATAGCGAATCATTGAAATATTTTTGGAACTTTTTAATTGAAATAAAAATTGTTTTCAATATTTGAAAAGATTGAACGATTTTTCCTAAAATTTTTAATTATTTTATATAATATCTAGTTATTTCATAAGTTAATTGAAACATACATTTTAATGGTAATATATATATGGCAAGTTCTCCAAAAAAATCGAAATTGATGTCTTTGATCATTTTTATAAACTAGGATCGTCATTTATGAAAAGTTTTTTTTTTTAATAATACGACTGTACTAGATCTACGAATGTATGAAATAAATTTATTTTTTATATGATAAACAACAAAGATATGTCCAAGAAAGTACCCTGAAAATCATTCCCTCACTATGTCCCAAGCGCTAAATTTGAAGATAATCATTAACTTAAAACGTAAAATTCCCTACAAATTGTTTATTATCATATTTTTTACTTATATAGGATAGTATTAACTATACCTATATGAGTTCATAGTTTCATAAATGCGAATGGAAATATTTTTAAATATAGTTCAAAATTTGTCCTTAAAAAAAGTATCATTCCCTCACCGTTTTGTAACAGTGTGATTGGAGCAATACTCCAAGGCCTACCAAATCCCACTTTAA